CTATAATCTCCCAAAACTGAATTGGGAAGAAATAGAAAATTTGAACAAACCAATTACCAGCAATGAAACTAAATCAGTAATCAGAAAGTTCCCAAGAAACAAAAGCCTAGGACCAGGTGACATCACAGGTGAATTCTACCAAACTTTTAAAGAACAGTTAATAGCTATTCTTCTCAAACTATTCTAAAAAATACAGAGGAAAGAAAGCTTCCAAATTCATTCTATGAGGCCAGCATTACTCTGTTACCAAAATCAGATGAAGACACCACAAAACAATCGAAGTGCAGACCAATATTTCTGATCAACATAGATTCAAAAATCCTCAACAAAATACTAGTGAACTGAATGCAACAATACACTTTAAAAAATCATTCATGGGACACCTGCCTTCATTGGCTCTGTTGGTAAGCATCCAGCTCTCAGTTTTGGCTCAGGTCATGATCTCATGGGTCATGGGATCAAGTCTTGCGTCATGCGTTGGGTACTCTGCTCAGCACGGAGTCTGCTTGAGATTCTCTCTCACTCTCCTCTGCCCCACCCCTCTCAAATTAATAAGTAAATCTTTTTAAAAAATCATTTACCCTATCAAGTGGGACTTATTCCTGGGATGCAAGGGCTGGTTCAATATTCACAAATTAATCAATGTGATACATCACATCAACATGAGAAAGGGTAAAAACAATATGATCATTTCAATAGATGGAGAAAAAGCATTAAATAAAGTACACAAACCATTCATGATAGTAGCCCTCAACAAAGTAAGTTCAGAGGGAACATATCTCAACATCATAAAGGCCACATATGAAAAACCCACATAGCTAACATCATATTCAGTGGTGAAAAGCCGAGAGCTTTTTCTCTAAGATCAGGAACAAGACAAGGATGTCCACTCTCACCACTTTTATTCAACATAGTACTGGAACCTCACCAAAAAACTACTAGAACTGATAAATGAATTTAGTAAGCTCACAGGATACAAAAATCAATATATAGAAATCTATTGCATTCCTATACACTAATAATGAAATACCAGAAGGAGAATTTAAGAAAATAATCCCATTTGCAAATGTACCAAAAATGAGAAAATACCTAGAAACAAATGTAACCAAGGAGAAGAAAGATGTATACTCTGAAACCTATGAAACACTGATGAAAGAAATCAGAGACAAGGGGCACCTGGGTGGCTCAGTTGGGTAAGAATCCAGCTCCTGATTTCAGCTCAGATCTTGATCTCAGGGTCCTGAGCTCAAGCCCTCCATGGGGCCCCACTCTGGGTGTGGAGCTTACATTAAAAAAAAAGAAAAAAGAAATCAGAGACAACACAAACAAATGGAATGGTATTCTATGCTAATGGATTGGAAGGACAAATATTGTTAAAATGTCCATACTACCCAAAGCAATCTACAGATTTAATGCTGTCCCTATCAAGATACCAAGAGGATTTTTCACAAAACTAGAACAAACAATCCTAAAATTTGTATGGAACCAAAAAAGACCCCAAATATCCAAAGCAATCCTTAAATAGAAGAACAAAACTGGAGGTATTACAATCCCTGGTTTCAAGATATACTACAAAGCTATAGTAACCAAAACAGTATGGTACTGGCACAAAAACAGACATCTAGATCAATGGAACAGAATAATGAGCCCAGAAATAAATCCGGTATTACATGGGCAATTAATCTTCAACAAAGAAAACAAGAATATGCAATAGGAAAAAGATGGTCTCTTCAACAAATGATGCTGGGAAAATTAGTCAGCTACATGCAAAAGAATGAAACTGGACCACTTTTTTGCACCTTGCACAAAAATAAACTCAAAATGGATTAAAGACCTAAATGTGAGATCTGAAACCACAAAAATCCCAGAGAGGAACACAGGCAGTAATTTCTCTGACATCAGACATAGCAACATTTTTCTTGATATGTCTCTTGAGGCAAGGGAAACCAGAAAAAACAAACTATAGGGACTACATCAAAATAAAAAGCAAAGTAAAGGAAACAATCAGCAAAACTAAAAGACAACATACTAAATGGAAGAATATATTTGCAAATGACATATTTGATAAAGAGTTAGTACCACAAATATATAAAGAACATATACTACTCAACACCAAAAAACCCCACATGATCCAATTAAGAAGTGGGCAGAAGACATGGTCAGACTTCTTTTCAAAGACGACTTATAGATAGCCAACAGACACATGAAAAGATGGTCAACATCAGTGATCATCAGGTAAATACAAATCAAAACCATGATGAGATACCACCTCACACCTGTCAGAGTGGCTAAAATCAAGAATACAAGAAAAAACTGTTATTAGTAAGGATGAGGAGAAAGGGAAAAACTCTTGCATTGTTGGTGGGAATGCAAACTGGTGCAGCCACTCTGGAAAACAGTATGGAGAGTCCTCAAAATGTTAAAAATAGAACTTCCCTACGACCCAGCAATTGCACTACTAAGTATTTACTTGAAAAATATAAAAATACTAACTCAAAGAAATACATGCACCTCGATGTTTAGAGCAACATTATCTACAAGACCCAAATTATGGAAACAGCCCATGTCAATTAATGAATAGATAAAGAAGATGTGATATATATATATATATATATATATACATATATATATTATATATAATATATATACACACAAAATATTACCCAGCCATAAAAAAGAATGAAATCCTGCCATTTGCAACAACATGGATGGATCTAGAGGGTATAATACTAAGCAAAATAGGTCAGGGAAAGACAAATACCATATGATTTTACTCATATGTGGAATTTAGGAAACAAAACAAACGAACAAAGGAAAATAAAGAGAGAGTGAGAAAGAGACAAACCAAAAATCAGACTCTGAACTGTAGAGAACAAACAGAGGGTTACCAGAGGGAAGGTAGTTTGGGGGGATGGGTGGAACAGGTGAAGGGGATTAAGAGTACACTTAACCATGATGAGCACCGAGCAATGTATAGAATTGTTGAATCACAATATTGTACATGTGAAACTAATATAGCAGTGTATGGTAGCTATGCTGGAACTAAGATTTAAAAAAAGAAAAGAGAAAAAGAAGTCAAACAAATGGCCAATAAGTACATACAAAGATGCTCAACATGGTTAATCATTAGAGAAATGCAAATCAAAATGACAATGTGATACTACTTTACATCCACTAAGATGACTAAAACTAAAAAAAGACACAATAACAGTGTTGGAACCTTCACATATCTTTGGTGGAAATGTAAAATGGTATAGACACTTTGGAAAATATTTGGCACTTCTTCAAAATATTAAACATAAAGTTGTCCTATGACCTAGCAATTCTACTCCTAGGTATAGTCCCAAGAGAATAAAAATATTTCTATACAAATCCCTGCAAATATTCATAGCAACATTATTCATATCCACAAAATGAAAACAACCCAAATGTCAATCAATTGACAAAAGGATAAATCAAGTGGGGCATATCCATATTACGGAATAGTATTCCATAATATGGCCTCATCATGGTATCTCATCATGGCCTCAAAAAGAAAGATTAGGAACATTATGCTGAGTATAGAAATCAGATGCAAAAGGTCATATACTGCATGATTCCATTTATTTGAAATGTCCAGAATAGGCAAATCTATAGAGACAGAAAATAGATTAGTGGTAGCCACGTCTGGGGAGTGACTGCTTATGGGTAGCCAATTTCATTTTGGAGTGATGAGAATGCGAAATTTGATCGTAGTGATGGTTGCACAACCCTATGAATATACTAAAAACTATGCAAATGTTCACTTTCAAAAGGTGAATTTTATAGTATATGAATTAAGTCTTAATAGAGTTGTTTTATTCTTTTCTAGTGTTGGAGGGTGGAGGGACAGAGCAAGAGGAAGAGAGAATCCTAAACAGGCTGTACCAGCAGCCCAGAGTCTGACCTCACAACCCTGAGATCACAAGTTGAGCTGAAATCAAGAGTCAGGTGCTTAACTAACTGAGCCACCCAGGCACCCATAGAATTTTTATTTTTTTTTAGAGATTTTATCCTTTATTTGACACATGGAGAGAGAGAGACAGTGAGAGAGGGAACACAAGCAGGTGAAGTGGGAGAGAGAAAAGCAGGCTGCCCACTGAGCAGGGAGCCCAATGTGGGGTTTGATCCCAGGACTCTGGGATCACAACCTGAGCCAAAGGTAGATGCTTAACGACTGAGCCACCCAGGCTCCCCTAGAATTGTTATTTTAAAAAATGGCCTCAAAACACCCTGCACTAGGGTACCTGGGAGGCCCAGTTGGTTAAGTGGGAGATTCTTGGTTTCTGCTCAGGTTCTGATGGGCGGGTGGTGAGATCAAGCCCCAGGTCTGGCTGGGCAGTGAACACAGGTTCTGCTTAAAACTCTCTCCCTGGCCCTCACCACCAACCCACTCCCACCCATCCACCCCTTGCTCTCTCTCTCTCTAAAATAAATCAATCTTTTTTTTTAAAGATTTTATTTATTTATTTGACAGAGAGAGATCACAAGTAGGCAGAGAGGCAGCCAGAGAGAGAGGAGGAGAAGCAGGCTCCCTGCTGAGCAGAGAGCCCAATGTGGGACTTGATCCCAGGACCCTGAGATCATGATCTGAGCCGAAGGCAGAGGCCTAACCCAATGAGCCACCCAGGTGCCCCTAAAAGAAATCAATCTTTAAAAAAAAAAAAAAAAAAAAAAAAAAAAAAAGACACTCAGAATTGTCCTTGGCCTTCTGCCTCACTCAGACTCAGAGAGAAATTGAATGTGGTGCCCCGCCCCTAGCCCGCCCCTTCCTGCGTGACCACGCCCCACTCGCCTAACGGATCCAACGTCCCAAAGCCAGAGTAACGGACCTCATTCCAGCGCCATCACGGAGAACACCACAAGGTTTACTTCTTCACCTAGCTTGAAAGCACACCGCGGACCTGTCGCCACCGCCTTTAACACCACAGCTTTCATTTTGCACCGCCATCACCTTCGCTGTGGTGCCTGAGCCGCCAGCCATGGCCACCCCGCAGCTCTCCCAAGTGCGCCAGAACTACCACCCCGACTGCGAGGCCGCCATCAACAGCCAGATCAACCTGGAGCTCTACGCCTCCTACGTGTACCTGTCCATGGCCTTCTACTTCGACCGCGACGACGTGGCCTTGAAGAACTTCGCCCGCTTCTTCCTGCGCCAGTCCCGCGAGGAGACCCAGCATGCCGAGAAGCTCATGGAGCTGCAGAACCAGCGCGGGGGCCACATCCGCCTCCGCGACATCAAGAAGCCGGACCGCGACGACTGGGAGGGCGGCCTGAAGGCCATGGAGTGCGCCCTGCACCTGGAGAAGAGCGTGAACCAAAGCCTGCTCGACCTGCACCAGCTGGCCACCGACAAGAACGACGCCCAGCTCTGCGACTTCCTGGAGAGCCACTACCTGCACGAGCAAGTCAAGGCCATCAAAGAGCTGGGGGGCTATGTCACCAGCCTGCGCAAGATGGGGGCCCCCGAAGCCGGCCTGGCAGAGTACCTGTTTGACAAGCTCACCCTGGGCGACAGCGACAAAAAGAACTGAGTTGGGACTGTTTTCCCGATAGCCCCAGGGTGCATGGTGACTTTCCCTGATCACCATGCCGAGCATGCGTATTGCAGTATTGCCTTTGCAAAAAGTTCCAGTTTTTTTCTTCCAGTTTTGCCATAAATAAGTAAAGTTGTTTGGTTTCAATAAAGTTATTTGGCTCTTAAATAAATAAAGGTCTGTGATTCGTGTGTGCAAATGTCTCCCCTTTAAAGTTTGTAAGCAGGTGTCCAGGAGTCTCTCCACCCACCCAACCCCATCCACATATAGCTCAGGATCTTGGGGGATGGAGGGGGAAGGTATTCCATGGGACCCTGGAAAACACAAATCAATCTTTCCCTGATAATGTGAGGGTGGGGTGGGGTGAGATGAGGTGGGTGGTCTGGGGCCTTGGTGTCTGTGGGTGCATGTGTATGATAAAAGCATTAAAAAAAAAACACGGTCTTAGAATTCATCATAGTAGTTGCCCCTGGGGAAGAAGGGCAGGAAGTGGGATTGCACAGGGATCCACCCTGGGCTACAGTGATAATGGGAAGGGACCCCTATGGTTAATTTCCCCCAGGGACACGGGTGTGACAAAGTAAAGTAACAATGGCATTTTGCAAATCTCAGTCCTTTTATTTACATTATTGTATTTTACTTTTGTAAGAGCCTCAGGAAGTAAGAAGGGCAGGTGTTATGACTGTGTCTTAACAAGTGAGAAAAAGGGAGGCCACGCAAATAAGAAGTTATGGAATGTGGGCACGAACATAGATCTTCTGATGCCATGTTCCATTTTGTTTTTGCTGTTGTTGCCTCACAGGTATATCAATGGGTTAAGCAAGACTGTGTGGGTAGACTGGAAATCCAGCCAGATAACCAGACCCGGAAGGGAGGGAAATCCCCAACACTCGTAAAGATAGCCCTGATCACTGCAGTCTCTGCCCTAATTATAGGTGTGCCTTCCAGCCTAGGGTGGGGATGGCTTCTAAACCTCAGCCAGACCCTGCTCCTAGGAAAGGAGTCTTCAGAGCTAGCAACAGAACATATGAGAGGTAGAGTACCTCACAGGAAGGCAGGCAGCACCTGTACACTTGAATCCCGCTGTTCAGGCTCCCTGCCCCGCACAGGCAGGGACAACGTTACCTGAGTTGGCACTGAAGACCTGGGAAGACCTCAGGCCTGGAAATCCCCCCGAGTGCACTCTCCACCCACACGGCTTTGCTCTCAGGGGCTTCTCTTCAGGCCCAAGGGGAGACTGCAAAACACACATGTTGTGCCTGCAAATCCAGCTCAGCTGGACAGACACCCAGTACCCCAGCCACGCACAGGGTCCCGGAACCTAGGCACTGGACCGTTGCCTGTTGTGGTTTCTGCCCTGGGCTCGGAGGCTGACCCGAGTCTGGTTCAGTCTTGGCTGCTGGGCCTCCTCTTTATCCCATCTTTCCCTTTCCTGTGACTAAGAGGGACTCCCCAGGATAATGCCGCGGAGTCTGCTTAGATCTACGTCCTCTTATTTTACCAGGGAAAGAAGGATTTCCTCACCCACAAGACTCAAAGAGCATTGTGATTAACGCTCAAGCGCCTCTTACAAGCTGCTGCTTGTAGTGTCACATTTCACAGCTTTTCTGTGAGAATCCCTGGCAAGGGAGTCTAGACACAGTGGCAGCTCTCCTTCATGTTCCGCAAGACAAAAGGAATGTTCGTAATCCCCTCCTTGAGGTTCAGTTATGGGGTCCACCAACAGACTCTTGAATGTGTGGGGCAGGCGCGGAATGAAGTGAGAATTCAGACTGGTGAAGTTGGCCCCGTCGCTCCCTCCAGATGTCTTAACTTTGTCTGTCATTCCCACCTTCCTCTGCCTTCCCTCCCTCCTCTGCCATGTACCCACCCCTCAAAAGGGGGGAGCTAACTTTTGTGGCTGTGCCACCTCCCTGCATACTCACAGCCATCCCAACCCCTCGATAACCTGCCCGTCAGGACATCTGAGTGAGTTGCAACTTGGTCGTCCAGTCCTGGGGAAAATACCACCCCCCACCAGATGCACAGCTGGGTACTTGTCAGTCAGTGGCCATGCTCCAATGCTTCGAGGAACCGTGTCTGAAATAGTCACTGTTGCTATGGGTACCGGGGTCTCAGGCAATGATAATATCAGAACAGACTGAGGGGAAAATGATAAAATTGATAACTTCATCGCAGGCTCGAACACAGATTCAAATTAACTGTGTTGAATAATTTACCTCTGGGGACAAAAATCCTCACTGTATCACAAAAGAAAATTTCTTAATAGATGGTTGTCACTGACAACTTGCACTTCATTTTCCAGGAAAAGGAAACGTATTTTTTCCCATCAGAAAGGTGTGACAAGAAGTACAAAGCACTCATTAATTTCTTCTGAATCGTCTCTACTCTTAAAACTTGTTCTACATTTCTGATTTTTAAATTCTCCTTCAATTTTTTCCATTTGTCAGCAATTTCAGTTTCTTTTTGCAAGCCCAAGAGACATATTTAATCAAACATTCAGTAGTGAAAGGCATTATCATTAATCTTGGAAGTGATACTATGCTTCAGAGTTTAAAATAATGAACATTTTTATTACAAATCATTTTCATGCAGTCCCGAGTTCCAATTCAGAGGGGTATTGATGGGGAATTTGCATCAGGAAGGCTGAAGTGAAGGGTGAAATGAGGGGAATTAGCAAAGTGTTAGAAGACCTAAAAGATAAAGAAAAGAAAATTATGCTTTGATTGCTTAGTCAAGGAGGACATAAGAATGGACTAAGTTACAATGAGAAAGCAAAGTAATAAAGGCTAACATATGTTTAAGAATCTTAGCTGGGAAGCCTGGGTGGCTCAGTCAGTTAAGCGTCTGCCTTCTGCACAGGTCATGACGCCAGGGTCTTGGGATCGAGCCCCACATCGGGCTCCTTGCTCAGCAGGGGAGCCTGCTTCCCCCTCTGCCTGCTGCTCCCCCTGCTTGTGTGCTCTCTGTCTCTGTCTGTTTCCCTGACAAATAAAGAAATACAATCTTTAAAAAAAAAGAATCTTATCTAAGTTTGGATTGCATTCGGTTATGAGTGGCAAAGCTTGGAAAAGCAGTAGCTTTAAAAAGATAGGGTTTCTCTCCTGTATGTAAACAAGAGTGGAGGAGAACACAGTTCGGGCTGCTGCAGAAGCTCCTTCCATCTTATTTCACTGATTTCAAGAGGTACCTTTTTTCACATTATAACATCTTTGAAATTGGGATGAATCTTAACAATCGTTATTGGCCATAGCTGTCACTGCCTGAGCAGTCACATCGAGACTTGACAGAGTGGCATCATAGGCTAGGAACAAAATCTTAGAGGCATTAGGAAGAGTACTCTTAATAAATACCGAATCATTGTTGGGGCATCTGGTTGGCTGGTCAGTTGCATATCCGGCTCTTGGTTTCGGCTCAGGTCATCGTCTCGCCGTCATGAGATCAAGCCCCTCATCGGGTTCCATGCTTGGTTGGGAGTCTACTTGTCCCTAACTACCCCCCAACTCATGCTCATTCTCTCTCTCTCTCAAATAAACAAATAAAATCTTTAAAAAAAAAAAGAAGAAATGCTGCATTGCCAACACTCTGGATGGCACAGAGGATGACAGTAAGAGACATCAATGATTCTGAGCACAAAAGTGATTTAGAAGAGTTCAAATTATTGACATATTAATGACATATAACACTGTGTAAGTTTAAGGGATACAACGTGACGACTCGATACACAAATATATTGGAAAATGATCACCACGATAAGGTTAGTTAACATCTCCATCACATCTTTGTGAGTGTGGGGTGAGGCGAGATCATTTAAGATGTACTCTTTCAGTAACTTTCCAGTATACAATACAGTACTGTTAACTATAGTTGCCATACTGTATACCAGATCCCCATGACTTACTCATCTTATAACTGGAAGTTTGTGCCCTTTGACCAACATCTCATTTCCCCACCCCCAATCCCTCACAACCACCATTCTGTTTCAGTAAGTTCAGCTTTTCAGGTTCCACATACGAGTGAGATCGTACAGTATTTGTCTTTTCTGTCTGACTTATCTTACTTAGCATAATACTCTCAAGGTCCTTCCGTGTTGCTGCAAATGGCAGGATTTCCTTCTTTTTCTCCCCATTGTATCTATCTTTTTCTTTATGTATGCATCTGTCAGTGGCCACTTGGGTTGTTTCCTTGTCTTGGCTGCTGTGAATAATGCTGCAGTGAACAGGCAGGTATCTTAGAAGAGTTGAAATTTGAATCTGAAGAAGTTATGGCAGTACCTTACATAATTAATTTAGCACATAGTTTCCTTTCCGTGTGTATGCACAACAGTGATCTAATGACCAAAAAAAAAAAAAAAATTGTGTTAAGGGGCACCTGGGTGGGTCAGGAGGTTAAGTGCCTGCCTTTGGCTCAGGTCATGATCCCGGGGGCCTGGGATCGAGTCTCACACCAGGCTCCCTGCTCAGCGGGAACCTGCTTCTCCCTTTCCCTCTGCCCCCTCCCCCTGCTCATGTTCTCTCTCTCACTCACTCTCTCTCAAATAAATAAGTAAAATCTTTAAAAAAAATTTAAAAATCTATGTCTTAATAAATTTAAAAGATATCTTTTAATAAGTATAAATTAGAAAATCTAAAGAAAATCTAGTGGATGAGAAAAAATATTGTGTCTTAATTTGATAGCATTTTCTTCTTTTTTTGTGGTACACAAAATAATGGTGTGCCTTAAAATTGATACATTTTATTTAATAAAATATATTCTTTTGTTGTTCTATAGTATAAGGCTTCCAGTCTTATTTATCTCACATTCCAATACTAGAGCGCCAGCCATTACATCAGCACACAGTAAGAAACCATATGTTGGATCTGTTCGTGGCTGCAAAGGGAGGGTGGCCTTCAGAGAAAGAAATTTCAAGAAAAAGAAAATGCCCAACTTGTCTAAGATGTTAAGAAGAGAAGTGGAGACCTGCGGGTGGCAGGAAGATGGAGAATCCAATCATAATC